AAAGTGAACTTGTGGTACATTTGTGAAAGGGAGTGAAACCCTCTGTAGCTTAACGTGTACTGATTGTATCCCATAAGTATACCTCTTATTGTGAAAAGGACCTAAGATACTCTTAAACCCTGACTGGTCTCAGCTTAAGTGACATCACCAGATAATTAAACTTCATATAGCCAGGTGCCTACTAGTAGCTGTTAAGAGTTGATGGTAAGGGTAAGTTAGTAAATCAGGTGACATATTGCTGGGCTTAAGTTATGATACTATCAGAAATATGTGGATGAAGTAAAACCTGGATTTGTTATATATAAGTCTTACCAGACCTTTTATTGAGTCTGTGTTTGCTTCAATTTATTTAAATCTTTTAAACTTGAAATATGCACTGCTTGGCATATGCATTTATTATAGTATTTTTTTCTATTTGGAAGGTTTCATGTATACAATTTGTACCAGTTTCTGTAGATATATGTCTCTATAATCATGTTTATCTAAACAAATTTATAAATTTTATATGTTGTCAAGTCTACTGGACATTTTATGGAATTTAGACATAAAATAAATATATTTTGATTTATCATATCATTTCATTTTCAATTGTATTCCAACAAATTAATCTTCTCATGGGGGTTTCATTTTTGATAGGCTAGCTGTAGTAATATGAAGACCTCTGACATACCAGCTCAGTTGGGGTGACTGCACTATTTCCTGCACCCTGTGACACCAGATGTGTTGTCACCGTTGACACCAAGAGAGGCTTTGTATCAGGAATCGATGTTCAGAACACACCCCAACTCATAGTTGTGATAGATCAATAAAGGTTATCGATAATTCATTGATAAAATGCGAGGTCCAAGATAACTGGGATTGACCTTTGTATTTTTTTGTTCCTTTTGGATTTTTTCCCTCCCTTTCAGTGTATTACCCACATGCCATTGCACCAGTTAGACAAGTGACACAGGTATTATGATGACCAAAACTGTGGTGAAAGGATCTCCAAGTCATGCAGTATATTAATTTTCCCCTCACCTCCCCCACCCCCCAACCCGGCCTCCCTCTCTCTCTCTCTCTCTCTCTCTCTCTCTCTCTCTCTCTCATACTACACATATCAGTCAGTTATTGGCGGGGGGAGTGATAAAAGACAATCAATGGAAAATGTGAGAGTATTGCTATTTCATTCATTCGGTGCTAATTTGGATTAGCGCTAGTCAAAGAGGATATTAGGTGCAGTGAAGGTCTGAGCCGGAGAGAGTCCCCAAGAGGTTTTAGTATTTAATATCCTCATTCCAGGGCCCCATGATGAACTATTGGATCCAGGGTTCATTGATAAGTAATATTATAGTATTCATGACAAGCCCTGCTAGAATGCAAAGGCCATGCCTACAATGATTTGAATTGATGAGTGGAAAAAAATATATATGTGAATATGAATTTTATCTGGAGTATTTGGTTTTTTTAAAAACTGTTTGATTATGACATAAGGCAGTATTGGGTTATAATTGCATCATACAAAAAGTGTAAATAAAAACAATAAAAGCATGCAGTGACCAAGCACCTGTCTGGATTGTCTCATCTCAGGTCAAATTTGTAGGTGACAATCAGATAGCACCCAGTGTTAGAGCCATTTTTTTTTCCTATCTAAGACCAGAAATAAATACCTAAGGCAGCCAAATAGATAGACATAGACTAGCGAATTTTAAGAAAGGGGGTTTTCTGGTAATATCAGTTAGTAACTCTTGTTCTTGGCTGGTGTTTTGAATATATTTGCTGGGTAAAACAAGTGAAATTATGGATGTTGAAATGACCCTCTTTCCCTTCTCTTAGTATGCATTTGAAGTCTACTTCAAGGTTTGCTTGCATGGGCCTTAATATTGGAAAAAAGATGTTATGTAATAAATGGAAAAAAATTATCAAGGTATTCATTAATGTTGAAAGTACAAAATAAGAAAAAAGAAAGAATGAAATAATAGTTAACCATGAAACAGAAGAAGACATAAATAAACCATATATTTATTATTGATGCTGCTAAAAGATTTGATTTTGCAAAAACTTTTTTGAAAAAGTTTTTTCTTCCCCCCGAAAAGGGAATTGTAACGTGAGAAAATTGGACCATGTAAAAATTGCACCGAGCAACCTCCCAGGAGCAACTTATCTCAGAGATAGCACATTAGCATAGGTCTGCCCAACGGCCATCACGGTTTGACCTCGGGGCCATGGCCATTGAGTAATTTTTTTTCCTGACTGCTGGTGCACTACTGCTGATCAATACTACGGTATATGATTGATTAGAGACTGGCCCGTTATTAGTTGTAGTGGATGAGATATGAGAAAGAGATTGAAGGGTGGGTGGGTGGGTGGGGTGGGGGGGGGGAGAGGGACAGAGAGAGAGAGAGAGAGAGAGAGAGAGAGAGAGAGAGAGAGAGAGAGAGAGAGAAGAAG